ATCGCTGAGTTGTTCACAAGTTGCAATTGTGCACGCGTTCTAATTCGCCGATCAGCATGCTGGCAAAGTTTCACCAGTTGCTCGTTTGATAGCTCTTTGAAACCACCTGCCATAATTTTGGCCGTGTCTGATGCAGCCGCTGCGTGTCCAGGATGTGCGAAGGTATAGACTCGTCCTTTGCCTGGACCATCCCAACCATCGACCCAGTCCGTCAGGTAGATCTTACCGTCGTATCCAAAATCGACATCGGTGACGAGGACATTCTGAATGAACCAACCGTGATCAATGAATTCGAAGCCGGCCCCTTTGGGTCGGACAGCGAAATGCCGGACTCCACTTTGGCCAGAGGCACCACGAAAATCGGCCAGAAAGAATCGGCCTGAGAACTCATCATCTAAACCGATACCTGGATAGCAGACCAAACCTGAAGGGCCATCAGAAATATTGATAATCGGCGGAACGATGTAAGCGGGCTGAAATGCTGTTGTTTCTTCATCAGCTCGATAAGGAAACCACATTCGTTCCCGGTTCCAAGGGCCTCGATCTGGCAGATACTGAAAATACATGCGCCAGCCGGTATCACCTCCTTCAGCGACATAAACCCAGCGAGCCTGATCACCCGAGTCAGAATTGTTATCTCCCGTGAAGAGATTTCCATAATCATCAAAGGCCAGTTCTTGTGGGTTTCTCAGCCCGTAGGCAAAGACTTCCAAATTTGATCCATCGAGTTCGCAGCGAAAGACCGCTCCCGTATCAGGTCGAACCAGATGATTCCCCTCTTTGGTGATGACGTTGTAACCACGATCACCAATGCTGAAATAGAGTCGGCCATCTGGTCCAAGAATAAGCCCATGCATGTCGTGCCCACGAAAGGCAACGCGAACTCCATAGCCATGGTGCAGTGCCTCACGCTGATCCGCCTGACCATCTCCATTGGAATCTGCGAGCTTATACAGCTTGGGGATGCAGGTATAATAGACGCCCCCATCCAGCGCAAGCACGCCGGCTCCCGTTCCATCGAGAACATCGTTGAATCCTTCGGCAAAGACTGTCGAGCGATCGGCTTTGCCGTCGTGATCGGTATCTTCCAGCAAACGGATGCGGTCGTGTTCCTTGCCATAGGCAGCGACGTCATCACCGAGATGTTTCTTGAACATTTCCAACCGCTCTTCAACTGACGTTAAAGAGAGGTCATCCTCGAGCCAGACCATGTGACCGCGATTATCTTCGACCCCTTTCTTTTGACGGAATGTCTCACAGACATACATCCGGCCCTGTTCATCGATCGCAAAAGCGACGGGATTCGCGAGCAGCGGCTCCGCAGCCCAGAGACTTGCCTTCAAATAGTCAGGGTACTGAATTCCTTCGAGAGCCAGTTCACCCTCATTAGTCGCACCTTTCACATCTGGCTGATATTCCTCCGAGAAAGAGTCCTGATCATGAACCAGAAGCATCGACAGAAATAAAAAGACCGCAATATAGAACCTGTACAATTTCAATTCAAAACCTCATTATCTTAAGATGATCTTTGCTCATGAAATTTTAACAAGACATCAATCGCTGACGAGTGAGAGCCTTGTGAAGCAAAAGTTTTTCAGCGAAGTGCCTCGCATAAAGAGAGATCGTAACGATGGAACAGACACCTCAGCGAGTTTCGACAATAGCTTATTTAGTCCGCATTGGCATTGAACATCAGATTCTCGTCATCAGCATGGGAGTTGTCTTTTCCGTTTTAGCAATTTTCCTGCTGTTATTTGCTCGCAACCGTTCACTGATTGCGGTCCTCAGTTTCTTCACTCTCTTGCCGGGGCTGATCGCCTTAGTCTCTGTTTTTACAGGCTTTCAGGAATTCCAAGCACTCGCTGTGGCACCAACTACTCCAAAACCAGCTGTCTTTGCGAATTCGGTCGGTAAAATCTTGGCAGCCGGATTTTGGGGCCTGTTATCGACGATCATCCCAGTTAGTCTAAGCTTGTTTGCTTCATTGAGAGTGCCCAGCTATCGAGACGAACCTCAGATGGATTGAACCCAATTTACAATGGAGAATGATCGTTAGATGGGAGTATGCTCAGCCTGCTGACCGCAAAGGCAACTTAGAACTCCTAACAAAACGATCATCCGGAATGCGTTAGCGTCCGGTTTCCGAGTCAAGAACCGTGGGCTAACGCCCTGCGGCTGATGTGGCAAACCGGTTTTGTCAGGGCTTCTTAAGAGGAAAGTATTTCCAACAGTAAATTGCCATGTGGGTAAGGATGCCCGTTGTGCTGACGGAAACCCTCCCCAAAGTCCGCCGAAATCAATTCACCACGTTTTGCAGCCCAACGTTTGCAGCTGTCGAGGTATTCATCCATTCCGTGTTGCTGACGCAACCAAGCACGCTGACTCTCGTGGCAGGCAAGCATTTCAATTTTCAGCTCAAACGTAGAACTGACATCGACGATGAAGTCATAAGGGACCGGTTGACCAAACCAGTCCACACCTTCAATCGGATCTACATAGTACAGATGGGGAATCTTTTTCGTGATGGGTGCGGGGTCCCATTGCTCGGTATGGTAGTTCGGAACAGATGCTGCAAAGCAGGCATCCCGAACCAGTTTGCTGGTCACTTCGTGGTCGTTCATGTAATCGACGGGTGGCGCCGTAATCACGATCTCTGGATTGGCTCGACGAATAGCTTCCGTCACACGCTTGCGACTGGCATCGTTAAAGTCGATGCAGAGGTCTTTGAATTCCAGGCACATGTACTCGGCCCCTAATAGATCAGCCGCTGCCTGAGCTTCATTCCTGCGAACTTCTGCGATCTCATCCTGATCGAGTTCTGCACTCCCTTTATCTCCAGCAGTCATCGTCGCCATGACGATTTCGCAGCCCTTGTCCTTTAACATAGCCAGAGTCCCGGCACACAAAATTTCAATATCATCGGGATGGGCATGAATCGCCAGAACGCGGGGACGAGAGGTCGCAGACATGTTTCGGTCTCAAGGTGGGCATGGTTCGTGTGACTTAATCTGACCCCAGTATTCCCCGCTTGAGCCAACTTGTAAAGTCACGACGCAGCGAACTGAACACAATAGATCGGAGCCAGCGTATGAGTGATACACTCCCAGCTGTCTCCGCCGTTTTCACTGATCCAGAGTCCACCTGTTGATGACCCGATCACGAGTCGTTCGCCTGAGTGGTCAATATCCATCGCATGCCGAAAGACAATTTCGTAACTATGTTCCTCTGGCAGGCCATCACTCAGAATCTCAAAAGACTGACCAGAATCACTGGTTCGCGTGACAACAAACTTGCCATCGACCGGGACGCGACATTCATCTTTCACTCCCGGCACGAACCAGGCTTTGTTGCCATCGTGTGGATGAACACAGACACCAAACCCGAATGCTGAAGGAGCCACGTTTTCCATCTCTGTCCAAGTCCGGGCGTGATCGCTGGAAAAGAATATTCCGTTGTGGTGCTGAATCCACATCTGATCTGGGTTCTCAGGACATTGAACCAGGAGATGAGCATCCTGTGAATTCTTTGCATTTGCAAGATTCGGTGGCATAAAGTCAGCTCGTAAGCCTTCTCCCAACAGTTCCCAATTCTCACCGCCGTCTGCTGTTTCCCAGACTCCACCACATGAAACTGCGATCGTCACTCGTTGACTATCGCGGGGGTCAACACAAATCGAATGGATCCCTGCCTCATCTTTTCCTCCACCGAACCATTCCATCCGTTCATCTCGATTCCACAGCGATTCGACAAGTTCCCAACTGGTTCCCCGATCTTTGGATAGAAAGAGTCCCCCGGGAATGGTCCCCGCCCACAGCCATTCCGGTTGATCTGGTCCACCTGAAGCAAAGGCCCAGATCTCTTTAAGACTTGCTGGTTTGGTTTTCGGCATTCCTTCTTCGACGAATGGGCCAGCTCCGACCTCTGCCCCTTCCGGGTAAACGGGAACGGCACACTCTTCCCAGGTCATCCCACTATCCGGAGAGCGATGAAGCTTCACACCAAAGTGCCCCAGTGTCAGCGTGGCGTACAACCAACCATCACGTGGATCATGATGAAGCAATGTCACATTGTGCCCCAGAAAGTCAACTTGACTGATTCCCCACCCAGACGCAGACCTTTCCAGGGTGACCAAGCCTTTACGAGTTCCAACATATATTTTATTGCTCATCGTTTTCTTCTCGTTTTGTATCGCTAGCTGAGATCTCAGAGCTGCATGGTATTAAGACTTTATCAGCCGGCACGCGTTAGCGTCCGGTTCATCAGAACAATGTGCTAACGCACTGCGATTAACTTTTTCTTGGTTAACTCATCAATGAATGAACAAAAGTGCTTACGCGGCCGATGCGGCCGCAACCAAATAGGAACACCAAGTTGAGGCCGCTGGACTAGGGACGAGGGGCTAGTATCCAGGGAACATTTCTTTTCATATTCTCTCAACTCTCAACGAAATCATCGATGACATGCTGACGATTGTAAAAACTTGACTCAAACACAACACAAGTTAAAAAAATCAGCGTAGCTAATTCGCCGTTTCATCCACCTGACAAAGCTTGCATGACATAGATCTCACTATCTGGTTCGATTTTATCCTTCAGCGAGACACGATCTTGAATGACCTGATCGTTAATAAAAATCACCACATGCTGCCTGAGACGTTGTTGATCATCAAGAAGATACCCTTTGAGGCGAGGATTGTTTGCGAAAACATTCTCCAGCGCTTCACGTACGGTGACACCATCGACTGAAACAGATGGACAGTCAAGATGCATTTGCAGGTGCGATGTAAAAGAGACCTTCGCCAAAGTAATTTCCAGCATATAAATTCGTACGTCTTCATTCTCACAAGCCTGCGCAAGTGTCACAAGCCTGAATTCGACCTAAGAGAGAAAGAGCCACTCGTAACGCTTATTCAGAACTACCTGCTCGAAATCTGGGTTGTTGCTTTCTAATCTTAGCGTAGAGAGCTTCTAAAATTGACACTCTACTGGAGACAAACAGCGATGCAGGTCAGAGACCTTCTCGTTCGAAATCTGAAATATTACTGGCGCACCAACTTTGCTGTCATTCTAGGCGTTGCTGCTGCGACAGCTGTCATTGCTGGTGCGTTGGTTGTGGGAGACTCCGTTCGTGGCAGCCTCCGTCAAATGTCCCTCGACCGACTCGGTGAGATTGACTATGCCATCACGGGAGGGCGATTCTTTCGCGAAGAGTTAAGTGAGAGCTTAGCCAGCGAAGACATTCAAACGGCCCCAGCCATCATCGTGCAAGGGACCGTCATCGGGGTATCAACCACAGACCAAGCCCCAGACTCTGAGGAGTCAAATCTGCGACTCAGGAGAGCCGGACAAATTCATGTCGTCGCTGCCGATGACCGCTTCTGGAGCATGTTGGACACAGGCGAGATCGCAGCCCCTCAGGAAGGGGAGATTGTCATCAACCAACGGGTCGCTGATCAGATTGGAGCATCCATTGGAGACAGTTTGTCAGTCATTGTTGAGATTCCGGCCTCGATTCCCCGTGATTCGTTACTGGGTGATCGCGATGAAACAGTGACGGAACTGTCACTGACCGTCTCTGCCATTGCCCCGGAAGAAACTGGGTTAGCTCGGTTTGGTCTCAATCCCAGTCAGCAGGTCCCGTTGAATGTCTTTGTTAATCTGGAAGAGATGCAATACCAGATCGGACTGGAAGAGATTCGACCGACGAAAAGGAACCCCGAATCCAAACCAGCGCGAGTCAACACGCTATTCATAGCGACGACTCAGCCCGACCGACTCAGCCGTAAATCATTCGAGTTAGCAGGAGCGTTGACTGATCGGGTTCATGAAAAGATCACACTCGCTGATCTGGCTCTCAAAATTGTGACCAACGAAAAACATGGTTACCTCTCTCTCGAATCGGAGCAGATGATCCTGGAGAATTCGCTCGCCTCCGATGCCCTCGAAACAGCTGAAGATACGGGGGCTACCGTTTCACCCGTGTTGGTATACCTGCTCAATGAAATCCGCAATGCCGATGAGCCAGAGAAGTATTCGATGTATTCTATCATTGCTGGCATCGACCCAGAACTCTCACATCCATTTGGTCCTTTCGAATTTGTCGGCGAACACCATCCATTAAAGAAAGGGGATGTCTATCTCAACGATTGGTTGGCAAAAGACCTTGGTGTTGCTGCTGGTGATCAAATTCTAACGAAGTACCACGTGGTTGGTGATCGCGGTGAACTCCCGGAGGAAGAAATCAGCTTTCAAGTTCAGGGCGTCGTGAAGCTGACTGGGGTCGCTGACGATACTGGATTCACTCCTAATGTGCCGGGCGTCACCGATGCCAAAACCTACAGCGAATGGCGACAACCCTTTCCATTAAAGGAAGAACTCATCACCGATCGAGATGACCTTTATTGGGACAACATCGATACCGAACGCGAAGACGACTACCGCACGACCCCGAAAATTTTCACCTCACTGTCTACTGCCCAAAACTTGTGGAAGAGTCGCTATGGTGATCTGACTTCGGTCCGTTTCGCTCCAACGAATGAAGAGCATCTTGCAGAATTGGAGAAAGAGTTTACAGAAAGCTTTCTGAAGCGACTCCACCCCGAGCAAACTGGTTTTTTCGTACAACCAATCAAAGCCATTGGACTGCGAGCCGCTCAAGGGACGACCGATTTCACCGGTCTCTTCATCGGATTCAGTTTCTTTCTCATTCTGGCAGCCACAATTCTAGTGGGCCTGCTCTTTCGTCTCGGGATCGAAACACGCATTGGTGAGCTGGGCCTGCTGACAGCTGTTGGATTACATCGCAAGCAGGTGAGGCGTCTTTACCTGCTGGAAGGAACGCTACTCGTTGTCATCGGCGGGGGACTGGGGCTGATCGCTGCTGTTGGATACGCAGCCATCATGATCCACGGTCTCAAAACCTGGTGGTTTGGAGCGATCGGGACGCGTTTCCTGTTCCTGGAAGTGCATGTAACGAGTCTGGTGATTGGCTTTCTCATTGCTGCCATTGTTGCGTTGCTGGCCATCTTCTGGTCGCTGTGGCAAACGCGGAAGCAATCGACTCGTAGCTTACTGAATGGAGAATCAGGGCAAACTGAATTAGCCACCGTCCAGCAGAATTCGCTCTCGCGTAGATCAGCCTTGCTACTGATCGGCGGATCGTTATTGCTCTCCATCTTGACTCTGATTGGTGTCATCCCAGACAGCGAAGCCTTCTCCGGATTTTCCTGGAAGGTCGTGATGTTCTTCTGTGTGGGGATGGGCTTACTTTCAGGTGGCTTATCCGCATTGACCGCATTTCTTGGTTCAAATGATGCCGTCAAGATTGAAGGAAGCAAGACCGCTTCCCGAACCAAGCTGGGCTTGCGCAATGCTGCCCGTAATAGACAACGCAGCGTCATGACAACCAGTCTCATCTCCTCAGCCACATTCATCATCGTTGCCGTTGCAGCCGGACAGCAAAATCCGACGGGAGAAGAACCGAAATATCAGTCAGGGAACGGCGGCTTCACATTGGTCGCCGAGACGAATGTTCCTGTGTTGTATAATTTGAATACGAGTGAAGGGCGCGCGAAAGTAGGTTTCAACTTACTCGACGAAAAAGTCGAAGCAACTCTCGATCAGGCTCGCGTCTTCCCGTTCCGCATGAAACTGGGAGAGAACGCGAGTTGCCTGAATCTCTATCAGACGCAAGTTCCCACGATCCTCGGTGTACCGAATGATGTGCTGGAAGAGATGATCCAGAATGAGCGTTTTCTGTTTGCCAATACGTCCGCAGAGCAACCCTGGTCACTCATCAACAAGAAACTTGATTCTGGAAACATTCCGGTATTGGGCGACATGAACACTCTCATGTATAGCTTGCATAAAGGGATCGGTGATGTCATTCAAGTTCCGAACGAAGAGACGCCGGAACAGACTCTGGAGGTCGCAGGAATGTTTGCCAACAGCATCTTTCAGGGAGTGCTGGTCATGTCGGAAGAGAACTTTCAGAAAGTCTTCCCGGAGCAAGTCGGCTTTCAATACTTTTTGATCGAGACTCCCGTCGATAAGGCAGAGGATGTCTCTGCCATGTTGGAGACAAACTTGAGTGACTCGGGATTCGACAGCGAACGGGTCTCAGATCGGTTGCAGGATTTCCTCGCCGTACAGAACACCTATCTCTCGACCTTTCAAACATTGGGAGGATTGGGGCTTCTGCTCGGCACGATCGGTCTGGCTACGGTCATGCTACGAAACATTGTAGAACGGCGGGGAGAGCTGGCCCTGATGCGGGCAATCGGTTTTCGCAAACAACAGGTCAGCTTGCTCATTATTTACGAAAATGCTTTTCTGCTTTTGTCTGGTCTCGCATTGGGAACCATCTCTGCCATGATCGCGATGGCTCCCCATCTGATCAGTTCGGCAGCGAATGTCCCCTGGCCTTCTCTGGGGCAATTGCTCGTCGCAGTGTTTGCCGTGGGCATGCTATCCGTTTTAGTTGCAGTAAAAGCGGCAGTGAAAACGCCGATCTTGCAAACTCTCAGAGGCGAATGATTAAATTCTACGAAACGGCCTGAACATTGTTCTGTTCGTCAATTGGAGGACGCTTTGAGTACGTATGCAATTGGTGATATCCACGGCTGTTGGGATGCTTTGGAAGCCTTGTTAGATCAGGTTCCATTGCATGAGGATGATCAGCTGGTCTTGCTTGGCGACTACATTGACCGTGGTCCAGATTCAGCGAAAGTCTTGAATTGGGTGATCGATCAGGTCGAGGAACAGGGTACGGTCGCTTTGAGAGGGAATCATGAGGTGATGATGCTAGCTGCGCTTCAAGGAGAAATGCGTCTGGAGCATTGGCTCGGCTGTGGCGGTCAGGAAGCACTGGAATCGTACCTGCCGAAGAATTCCAACCGGAGTCCGAGTCCTGATTGGGTCCCTCAAGAACATCTGAACTTTCTAAAGCACCGCTTACGTCCCTACTTCGAAACGGAATCGCACATCTTCGTTCACGCCAGCCTCTACAGTGAACATCCGGTAGCTGAACAGGACGAATATGTTTTTTATTGGGAACGCTTTCACGACATCGCTCCTCATTGCTCCGGCAAGCGAGTCATCTGCGGGCACACAGCCCAAAAGAGTGGAAGACCTGCAGTGAAGGAACACGCCATTTGCATCGACACCTGGGTCTATGGCAACGGCTGGCTGACCTGTCTGGATGTCGAATCAGGCCGCTACTGGCAAGCCAACCAAAAGAGAAAGCAGCGTAATGATTGGTTAGATTAACTCAACAGTCCGCCAGTGATTGGGTCACTTATTCCTCAACGAACAACTCCAACACCCGCGCCGTACCATAACCAATTACTGAAAACACTAGGAAAGCATCAATCATCAAAACAACAAATTCCAGAAACGAACAGCGACCATAAACCGGAAAGTATCTGGCAGTCTCTGAAGATTGAAACCGTGAGGGAAATCGCATCAATTCATAATCGGAAATTTGCAGAATCACATAAAGGGCAAGATTTGCGATCAACAGCGAAACCGTGAGACGAAAAAGAAAATGGAGCAGACCGGCATTGAGCATGCCGAAGTGCACTGACAGACTCTTGCCTGCCTCATCATTATCTAAGGCACGAATTGATTCTGAAATCGAGTCATCAATTCGCACATCCTGGGGGTAATTCGAAGAGTGTTCATCTACTCGTTGCCGCAGGTTGGCGAGATATGCCGAATCTGCTTCATCAAGTTTACGCAACGCTTCTTTCTCTGACAGTACAGACTCTTGCTCAGAAATCATGCCTGCGAAAGTATCAGCTGTCAGTTCCCCATCATCTTGAGAAAGAAGAGTATGCCGGCGCTTTTCTCGCTGTTCCTGTTCCCATTTTTCAAGAACATCGTCCCTGCCAGCAGTATGAAAGAGTCCTACCACTTCAGCCGCATGCACCCACTCCCGTTGCCAGTCTGCCATCACAGGCGAATCAGCACGCAAGGTCTCATCACGTACCAGTTGCACTAATTCCTGAAATGAGACAGGCCCTTGTTCTTGTTGATCAACACGATAACGGTAAGTCGTAGCCATAGCTGCTGAAATCCGGCCCTGTGTAAGAATGATTCCGTAGTCGACTGTAATCTTCTGTGATGATCAGAACAAGAGACCTCGTCATCTGCAACAGAGCATCAAAACAAAGAGCCCGCTGAGGATCGATCATCAATCCTCAGCGGGCTCGTATTTGTTATCGACTTACTGAATTTTTCGATTATCTGTTCCATTTCCATTCGCGGAAATAGGCATCGCAGTCGAATTCAGCACATGTTGGACAATCTCCCAATGATGCCATGCAGGTTTTAGGCGGTGTCGCAATCACGAGATACGGTAAGCCGATCGTTTGGCCAACAAACTTTGCGGCCGAGTAGGCTGTTGTGCAATAACCCTGTGAGACTCCACAGCGTTCAAGATTTGGATCTTCGAAGTAGAGTGGGTTATGCTGAAAACATAGCGGATAACGAGATGGCGCTGAGACTCCAACAACCGGGCCCATTACGTATTCACCCGGAATCAGACTTTCCATATGCACGGCAGCCAAGTTCTTGGGAGTTTGCACATCTTTGGGTCGGTTTGTTCGAGTACTGCCACCTGCAACAGAGATCTTGGAAAGTGATGGGAAGAGTGACTCCATTTGGTCACCAGCGTCCCCTTTGTCCCCTTTCGCTTCTGGACTGTACCCAGCATCTGTCTGGGCAATCAGATCGTTCGTTGCATCAATGATGGATTGATTACGTTCGCTCACCATTTTCATTGATGGGAGTTGCATGCCGTAACTCTGACGATCTGCCATCTGTTCCAGCTCTGTCAGATAGATTGGTTGAGTTTCAATCAGACTTGCTGAGCTGTCGAAATCAGGGGTCACTTTTTGTTGCGTCACAACAGAGGATTGAATCCAGTCGGTCTCTCTCTCTCCCAACTCTCGTAATTCATCGAGGTAAGTCATCGATTCAGCGATTTCTGTACTCGCTTCAAACTTCACTTTCTGCAAGTCCTGAGAAGCTTCCTCAGCACCAGGAATTGGGGCAAACCATTTCTCTTCCTGATTCAGCAAGGTATCAACATCTTCAGCAATCGCAGAATCAACCTGTTCTGAGATCACGTTCGACTCAGCGACACTGTCGTCTACAGGAAGAGGCGTTTTAGCTGCTGACCAAACAGAGGTTGTCTGCTCGACTTCAGTAACTGAACTTGCACTCGCTTTACATTTGCCTGCCGGGCCAGCTTTCTCCTGCCCAGAGTTGGTGGCACTTTCGTACCAGGCTTCTCGAGGTAGATTGAATTGTTCTTTCTGGCGTTCTGCCGCCTCCATAGCAGCTTGTTCTTTCGAACGAATTTCGATTCCGTACCAATCGGCGGAAGCTGACGCTAGAAATGCACCTGAGGCAGTGAGCGATAAAATAGAGGCGAATAGAGAGACACGACGCAACATAGTTGACTCCGTTCGGCAAGCAGCTCTTGCAGGTGTGAATGTGGCAATGATCCAGATTGAGGCAATGCCATATCCGTGAATTCGGAATTTTCTTGGATCGAACTATCGCAATCAGTCAGTTTTGTGTGGACTTTAAGCAAATCTCATTGAAAATAATGCATACTTTGCGCAGCTTACTTAACCGTCACCATATTAAAAGTTGAAATGAGTGTCTGGTTTTGACGCGAAGTTGCCGATCTTGGAGATACGTCATGTTCTATCTGAAGTGATGGTAAGTCGTAAGAGGGGGCGTCTTCTTCTATTTGCTATCGATATCACCAAATGACAAACAGTAAACCATACTGTGTGTAACCCTAATCAAATATAGAACTTGCGTATTAGCCAAGAAATCATTTTTAACTGCGATCCAATGGAATCGTCACAGAAATGACCCAACTATTCTGAGCATCGTATTATTGCTCATATATTTCTGCTCTCAAATATTGAGTGCGATTGGCAACAAATCATTCCCCAAAAGGGCATTACCGTTTCGCTGACAAATCGAAACGATGGACAACAGGAAAAATCAGTTATGGCGACCAACTGGTACACACAAATCATCAAACGCATCCTCGGGCGATCAGAGGAGGCTGTTCAGTCCAAAGGGGAACTGCGCCTGAAGCGATTGGAAGACCGCCGGTTGCTGAATGCGGATTTCGCTTTGATGGGAGGCGAGCTTCTGCTCGATAATTTCGCCCCCGACGGCATGATGATGAACGATTCCACCTCTTTGACTATCACGGAGGGGAATGTTGATATCAATGGCTCTCCAGGAACCATGGAAGATGTCTACCTGTTCACGCTCGATGCTGGGACCTGGCAAGACCAGGGCGGTCTTTTGGCAAATCAATTTGAAATCGTCGGAGGTAATGTGCTCGCGATCGATCGAGGGCTGTTTGATGGATCCGTTGATCTGCGAATTGATGATGCCAATGGAACTGCTGCCGATGCAAATGATCTCTCGGTCATCATTGGCGATGCGCTCCCGGCTGCCAACTTAATCGACTTTGCTGCGATGACCGACATCACAATTTCCAATGTGGGTACGATTACTCAACAAGGCATGGATGGTTTGGCTGCCACTTCGTTAACAGTCACCAACGCTGAAAGCGTTACTTTGGAGCTGACTACAAATGACTTTGACACTTTCTCAGCTACGACACGAATTGGAGTCAGTTACACTGATGCTGATGACCTGACTGTCTCCGGGATCACAACTAATATTGATGATGCTACTGATGGCGGTGATGACGCCAGTAGCGTGACGATCAACACCGGTGGCAACTTAACCATGACCGGGGCTATCAACTCTACCGGGACTGCACCCGATGCCGAGGATGACAACATTACGCTCACATCTGGTGGTGCGCTTAGCATCACACAAGCAGTGAATGCCGGTACAGCTGACGTTTCCCTGACCGCCAGTGGAGATATCGTTCAATCTGGCATGGGAACTATCACAGGTAATGATCTTTCCGTTACTCAAATGGAAGCAACCGCGCCAGTTGCAATGGACCCTGCTGATCTCGACATGGACATGGCGCATGATGTCGATCTGAACTTGGCAAATGCTGTCGATACGTTCACTGCTTCCAATGCAGAAGATGGCAGTGCAATTACCTTCAATAACAGCCGAACACTCAGCGTTGGTGCCGTCACATCAAACAACGGCGCCATCACCATTACTACGGACGATGGAATGGCGATGATGAATACCGCCAACATCAACGTCAATGGGCTCGTCAGCTCCATTGGAGCCATGGAAGATGCAATGGATGGGGTCATCACCATCACTGCGGACGGCAGCTTGACTCTTGATCTCGACGGCATGTTCGACGGCATGGCTGCTGGCACGGCTATTAACTCTGGTATGGCTGCTGCCATGTTGACCAGCAGTGGGAACATGACACAGGATACAGATGGCCTGATCACATCAGACAATCTGTCAGCAACTCAAAACGCCACTGCTGCTGGCAATATTGCACTTGGTGAAAACAACTCTGCCGCTGCCTTCTCTGCGACAAACATGGCTGCTGGAGGATCGATCACTTTCAACAGTAATGAAACACTGAGCGTTGGTGCAGTCACGTCAAACAACGGTGCCATCACAATCAGCACTGATGATGGCGACGCGATGACCAACACCGCCAATATCACCATTAATGGTGTTGTCAGTTCGATCGGAGCAATGGCAGATGGCAGTGATGGAACAATCTCGCTCACTGCAGATGGGTTGTTGACAATCAATGATGACATCAATGCCGGACAGGGAGACGTCATACTGGTCGCAGACCGAACCATTTCTCAAAACGCAGACGATCTGATCACTGCCAACGAACTTTCTGCTCAAGTCCTTGATGCTAACACAGCTGGAGATCAGAACATTAATCTGGGTCTGGCGAACGCAGTCGATGAGTTTGTCGCAGACAATGATTCTGCTGGCGGCTTCGTCACTTTCCGCAGTACTCGCGCACTCACCATTGACACATTCAATGGCATTATGGGAGTCACAACCACAAATGATGCCATGGCTCCTTTTAGTAATGACATCTCGCTCACTTCGGACATGGCGCTGACTATCAATCAACCAGTCAATGCTGGAATGGCAAACATCACTCTGAGTGCCGGAGGAGACATTACTCAAAATGCCACTGGTATCCTCACCGGAAACACCCTGACGATCACAACTGCGAATGACGTGACCCTCACCAACGCGATGAACAATGTCGTGAACCTCAATGCCATGACGCGAGGATTTCTGAACTATCG